TCAAAATATCTTGATTTATTTTGAACTGTTTAGGGACATTTTCATTTTCCAATTTTGTTTAGTTTTTTTTTCCAAAAATATCAATAAAATTTTATTTGTTGAAAGCTTGAAAATTTAATAGAAGGCTCCTAGTATATTGTTTCAAAGGCGGATGAAAAATATTAAAATTCCTTAGTCACAGTTTTTTTTTATAAGCATTTAAAGTTCAAATATTGACAAAATATGGAAAAATCACGAAAATTATTTTGAGTTAAGAATTCGTAAAAATTTTTCTTTTTAAATCTAAGGTTTTAAAATGTAATACAAGATTCCTTATAAGATTATCTACCTTTATCAAAAAAAAATGTCTATAAGAAAGTCAAATTAAATTTTTATGAGCGTTTGAAATTCAAATTTTTACAACATTGACTATTCACTCGATTTCTCATGTAGCGATTTCCTTATTTTGTTGTAATTCAAAAACGAATAACTGTAGATACATGAAAATTTCACTGAATGTTTATATTAGCATTGCCTATACACCATACAATTATGAAAATATTTTGACTCTTTTTGAGCTGTTTACGGACATTTTCAGTTTTCAATTTTTTAAGTTTTTTTTCTATAAATATCAATAAAGTTTTATCTGTTTAGCCAAAAGTGTAAAAATTTAATACAAGGCTCCTGATATATTGTTACAATACCAATTGAAAAATATTAAAAATGCATATTATGCACAACTTTTTTTTAAAAAGCATTTAAAGATCTAATTTTGACAAAATTTATCAAAATCTCGAAAATTATCAATCATTGTAATTAATAAATTATAAAATGTTCAGTTTTTATAGCTAAGGATTGCAAATTTAAAACAAAGGTTCTCATAAATAGTTCATACTGTAACCAAAAAATATATGAACACAGTTATTTTTTACAGACATTTTAAATTCAAATTTGGACGAAATTACATATTAAAAAACCCAGAATATTTATTTTCGTTATTTTGTTGTGATTGAATAATATTATTCGTGGGTACTTGAAACTTCTAAAGTGTACTATTATATATCTATGATATAGTATCACGGTTTTTGTTGATGTATAACGCGTTATAAGTACCTACCTAATGATATCCATTATTATTTTGATATGATTAATTTGGAATTTATTATTGGTACCTATTATAGGTCAATTTTTTGTTTAATACCATAGAGATGTATATAATATGTCTTATAGCTAGACTGACATACCGTTCTCCGCTCAGAATCGTTTTTCTTATACAATGATATTATATCGTTGAATTCAAATTTAATATCAGTGACCCACTTGTAACCTACTGTACAGCAGAGCGACACCCACTTGCCCACCTTTTTTCTTAAGATAATAACCACGACAGGTTGGTCACGACGACGGACGAAGACAAAAAATGTTACGGCGGCCGTGTTAATTATATTCTCGAAAGCTGATCCGGTGGCGTACGATAACCAGCTTTAATCTACATATTATTTTATAATAATTCACAAAGACGAAATAACAAAACGATTATACAAAAATAACGAAGATTATATGTGACTGTGTGTGTGTGTGTCGGGCAGTGGCGATGTCTACAGCTCTATTGTCGCGGCGGTGCCACACGTAAACAGTACCGTAGCCAGGGGAGGTTTTTTCTGTTTTAAAACACCCCCTTTACCCATGGCCGTATCTATAATATGCAATATAATATAATGTATACAATTATTCGGTAGTGGCATAACGACTAAAACGTATTCTGTTATACCAAATTCACACACTACCACGGCTTAAGATAAACTTTTTCTTTTTATTTTAAGTTTTTCAAAATCCTTCACAAGTTCCATTTTATTACAAAAAAACACACCCCTAAAAATAATCCTAGGTACGCCACCTCACGTAAACACAGACGTCTGTTGAATTTATTAAGTGTATTTTGCAGTGTTTCAGTCAATTTGAAATTCAATATTGATTGTTTTAATTTATCAATTTAAGTGTATACTAGGTGGCCACGGCCCGAACGGCAAAGTAATAAAAATTTCAACTCTTAATTTTATTGTACATGTATTTATTGTTAATTTTATATAATTGAATAGGTATAATTATTAATTTAGGTGGCAAAACTCGCCACCAAAATATGCTGAGTAGGTACTATGTTGCCTTCTTGGTAGTTATAGACTTAGTAGTTAGTACTGGTTACGTCTTGTGTGTTCGTGCAGTTCGTGGTATTTAGAAATATAATTAATATAGGTCTACAAAATATTTTCGATGTTCACCGGCCGTTGTTTTCATCGAACCTATTAGCCAACCACTATAAACGTTATAAATAAAATAATAAATATTGTTACATTCGGCAGTCTTCAATTTATAAATTATGAATATATATTTATGCCGTATACAGGGTGTTCAGAATTCTTCAGCTATCAAAAGAAACGTGTACAGAATATGGAGATGGTATATAATATATATTATATGTATAAGATAAAATACAAAAATTTGCAACTCCCCTATAAGCATATCTTGTGTTGAGGAATTTTATTTGAATTCAATTATTATTAATTCCTAAATACTTTATATAATTTGTATTCGATAGTATAACGTAATTTTCACAATTTTATTAGATTGACAATTAGATGAATGAATTATGTACCCCTGCATATATTTAGTTCTGGATTAATTACATCTGAGTTAATATTAAAGTGAATATTTTTGGACTTGTTTAAATTTAATTATAATAAATTATTATCAAACCAATCTTAAATATCTTTAATAACATAGTTTGTATTTATAAACAATGAGTAATGAATATGGAAGATAGAACCACTATATAAATTAAAATAGCAGTATCTTCTCATAACAATTATTTCAGCATCAACACTAATATTTAAAAGACCATTTATATACATTATAAACAACAGAGGGCCAAGAACAGTGCCTTGTGTAACACCTTGTGTTATATTCAATGTTTATTTCAGGGAGTTGACCGGTGGTGGGGGGGGGGAGAAAAATATATAACCCCCCCCCCCCCCCCCCCCCCCCCCCCCGAAAAATGTATGACAATGGTACTACGTAAGCTACATGTGACGCTATATGTGAAATGAGTTATCGGCTGATTGTGAGTAATATTGTGCATCACCGTTAAGGGGATTGGAAGCGGCGATTTTCTGTCTTTGTCTAACACACGTGCAACATAGGATTATAGACGTGTTCTATTTCCAACGTACCGATTAATCTAGTGAAGCGATAAGAATTCTGAAAACAGATTTGAATTTGTCGTCAAGTTTACTTGAGATCGACTTTCCCACATTTTTGATATTATCCCCCAAAAATCTTAAAAATGATATATTAAAAAGAGTAATTAAAAAATTGCCATATTTAAATTTTTGGAAAAGTTTTAATCAAAATATCAAAAATGTGGGAAAGTCGATCTCAAGTAGACTTGACGACAAATTCAAATCTGTTTTCAGAATTCTTATCGCTTCACTAGATTAATCGGTACGTTGGAAATAGAACACGTCTATAATCCTATGTTGCACGTGTGTTAGAAAAAGACAGAAAATCGCCGCTTCCAATCCCATTAATATAATAAAATAAAATAAATATAATGACTTGTTGGGTATTGCCTTTTTGCCAATTAATGTGTACCGATAATAATCGTAATATCGTAATAGTAGGTACTTAAAATTAAAAATTGAATAATACAACTATACATATAATCAGTTTTAAATTAATTTGATATAATTTAATATATACAAATTTATATTTATTTATATCTAACCTATAGCTACTATCATAAAAGTATGCAAATTTACTTATAGTAAATAAATCGTAGTAAATAATTAAAATAATTATATCATAATATACATGAAACGGGTGATAGATGATAAGACGTACCTACTAAAAATGTTTGATAAGTATAGAGCACTAAGAATCAAACATCTTCATAACAATATAATATACTGTTCGTTAAAACATACTTTTAAAGCAATAATCTGTATTTAATTATTCAGGTATTTGGCAACTGGAACTAATTTTTCTGCTCTCCATTTTGATTTCCTAATGGGCGTGTCAACAATTGGAAAAATTGTACGTGAGACATGTGAAGTATTGTGGACAATTCTTCAGCCTAAAGAAATGGTAGAGCCGACAATGCAAGATTGGTTAGACATAGCAGAGGGGTTTTATAGTAAAACTCAATTTCCAAACTGTGTGGGGGCCGTAGACGGGAAACACATTCGACTAGAATGCCCCCCTAAAAGTGGTACCTTATACTACAACTATAAGCATTTCTTCTCCATAATACTCATGGCAATCTGTGATGCAAACTATTGCTTCACGATTATAGATGTGGGGTCGTATGGCAAGGAGAGCGATTGCAACATTTTTAAGAAATCGTCATTTGGAAAAAAATTATACAACGAAAAAGTCAATTTTCCCCAACCTCAGTGTTTACCAGAAGATGATGGTGGTATTCCTCAACCTTACGTAATAGTAGGTGATGAAGCGTTTGCTCATCATAGAAACCTTTTACGCCCTTTCCCCGGAAGAAGCCTAAACAATGAACGGCGTATATTTAATTATCGTTTGTCAAGGGCAAGACAGAATATAGAGTGTACGTTCGGTATTTTGTCTAACATATGGAGGGTTTTCCATACGGCCTTATTAGTAGAACCAGACTTTGGAGTTGCTATTACCAAAGCGTGTTGTGTTTTGCACAATTTCGTTCGACGCAGAGATGGATATTGCCCCGAAGATACACAGACTTGTGATATGGAGGATGCAAATGAAAAAGTAGGGGTTGGGAACTCTACATCGGTTGCAAAAGACGTAAGAGACTATTTTGTCAACTATTTCAATCAACCGATTCATGCATTAAGTTGGCAAAACAAAGTGATAGGCTAATATAATGAGGATAAAATTATGCAATATAAATGTGTACCTATCATATTTATATTACCTATAACTATACTTATATTATTATTTATAATATTTAAAAAAAATTTTTTTTTTTTAATATGTTATTTATGAATTAAAAATATTGTCATTTGCACTGAATATTAAATAAAACTTACAAGTTACAACATAATATATTTTATGCTTACTTTTTTTGCTTTTAATAATGTCCTCAAGCTCGTCGAAATCTGCAATAGAAGCTCTGGCCACCTTGGTCCAGCTTACATGTTTGGCATTCTTATCATGGTATAACTTATTTTCTATAAATTGAATATGTAATATTAATTATTATGATGAATGACGTTTTACGTAAGTATTACACTGTATACAAACTCAGAATAACTAAGTTAGTTAGATTCTAAATTAAAATAATTGAATATGTTAATGAAAAGAACTTACCTATATTCCATATAGATTCCTCATTCGATACCTCATTAATAAATAATTCGTTGTCAAACATATTTGACAATTTTAAAATACGTAGGTTCAAATATGTAAATACTAAATAATTAACAACCAACTAGCAGAGTAAGATTACCGTGGTAAACTTAAGTGGCAACAACTGTAACTTAGTAATATTATGGAACTTCGTTAACTATACGCAGGGCCGGTTATAGGCGTAGGCGACGTAGGCACAAGCCTACGGCGGCAAAATTTATAACTATATAGAGGCGGCATATAAGAAAAAATCAAATATCTAAGAGGCGGCAATTTTGATCTTTGCCTACATATAAAAAATTGCTTGCGCCGGCCCTGACTATACGTACTATAACTGTCGTAGACAAATTATGAATGAACGTAAATAAACGCGGGTCAATCGTGGCGTCCGAATCGCCCGTGTGTTATCAAAAATAGAAATGCATTGAAAATGCATTGGAAAAATATTGTTTAATTTTAGCTGAAGATCGCGATCGAACGCTCAAAATTAAACAAGTACGTTTCGGCGCGTTCGAACGCGACCGAACGCGACCGAACGCGCGTCTCATTTACGTGTGTGAATAAGCCCATATAAAAGTATATGTTTAATTTTGGGCGATTAATCGCGACGTTCAAAACGCGCGGAGACGCGCGTTCAAATCGCCTAGTGTGTAATCCACTTAAGTGTTATTACGTTAAGTGTTCGCAATATCGCGTGTAGGAATCGTAGATAGTTTTTAAAATGTTCTGTCGTCTGTCACTCTGTCAGTGTAGTATAATCACTGTAGTGGCTTACGTGTATACGACAAACGACTTAACATTTACGATACGTTTAGCTGTTTGGTACATTTGTATAAGTTTTGTCTCTTTTTTGTGCTTTTGAAAATGAACAGTTAACTACCAGTAGGTATGTAAAAACGCAAAACTAATCCTATATTAGATATGTTTCGAAAAAAACAAATGCAGCCGATGCGAGAACACTAAGACGTTGATGACCCACCGGTTTCACCTCTTCCGACACAATTAATTGAAGATCAAAGTACCTACCTATTCATAAAGTATTAAAAACTTATTCTTATCAAAAAATTGGGAAAAATTGTTCAACAAGTTATATTTTAAAACTGAATAAGGTGGGGGCAATTTCTTAGTAGTGATCAAAGTGCTTTACAGAAATCACAAGGTATTTTTATATGTAGGTACTCCATTTAAAAATTATTGAAAAGCTACTGGTAAAACTGGAAAACTCTTAAAGTTCGGAAAATCACTCTAAGGCTGTAGCTTTAAACGAATTTTTCTTACAAGGAAAAAATGAACCTATATATACACAAATGATTCAACAAAGTATCTCAAAAAAAATACAAAATAGAATTAATTTCTCTACTTTTGTTCATAGGTAGTGTTTATTTTTCGACAAAAGAAGAAATTCCTCATACTCTTAGATACGAACCGCTATTAAATAAAGTAGTGCTAAAACTAAATCAAACTATTGATGAACATAATACATAATATATGACATAGGCTCAGAACGGAGTATCATTAATAATATAATATACTAAATGTCAATTAAATTTTTTTATAGAGTTAGACAATTTATATTTTATGTATTTGTAGGTATTACTGTAATACTGTACATTTGATCAACAACACATCTCAGAGATGGTTATTTTGAAATCTCAAATGTGATTCCTCATTTTAACTTACCTATATTTTACATCAATGAAATAGTGTACAATTACTGCTCAGAAACTACATCTCTTAAACTGTACATAGATAGATGTTGTAAAAAATGGTAACATTTATAGATACCTATCTGTACAATGTATGAAGTGTTAAGTAAATGTGTTGTTACATAGTGATGTTGTATAGAAGTTACATATACGTCTTTTATTTTGGCATTTGTGATGTTTTAATTTTAACTTCATATAGACTTCACATATAAATCGATAAACAAATATATACTATATTTATAACTTCACCGTTATATTTGTATAATATAATGTTTATGTATAATTTAAATAGGTATATATACATATTATTATTGTAACCATAATAATAATAACAATAATCTATATATTAATCACGGTATGTGATTACACGATTTGATTGATAATAATAATATTATATTAATTCTATGGTTATTAACGGGGCTCGCAAGTTGAGCATGCATGAACATGCATCTCCATGTTTTTTTTTTTTTTGCTACACAGGAAAACATGCTAACTGAGATACAAATCCGTTTCATAACAATATAGTAATAATAATATGAAGTTTGATAGTGCATGTTTTTGCATGTTTTGGGTGTAAAGGCATATTTGGCATATAGTTGATTTTTGACAGTCGTTAGTGCATATTATTTCATAAAAATATTTTTTAGACAAATACCTACCTATTTGAAAAGTTTCTTCCGATTTTTGATATCTTGTTTAAATCGTCCAATATCGCATGGTAAATTAAGACGTTTTTTTAAACTTTTATCGATTAATTATTTAACTAATTAATAAAAATATCAAAAATCAGGCTTCTTACGAATGTAAAAAAAGTTCTCCTCTACAATTTTTATAATAGGTATTTCTACTGTAAACCACTTCAATAAGCCGTATTACTTGAATTACGAAACCATGTTTTTATGTCATATTTCCCTCTTAAGTTGGAAAATGGAAAACATAAAAAAAAACACTTATAAAATATATACCTATTACTAAATTATCTAAAAACGAAATACTTAATATTTCATTCCAAATTCTTTCATTGTTAGTGCTGAATAAGGGTGTACACAAATTAGACAAAAAATGACTACATAATTACGATTTATAAAGATGAAAAAGGTATTTGAACTTCTTAAGTATTAATTTAATTTTTTATTTTATTAATTTTGACTGTTAAATAGGTATACAAATTAAAAGGAATAGAATACTTTTAAATTTTATGGATTTATTCTTATTAATTTCAAATTTGGTCATGTTTTTTTTACATATGCATATTTTGAGTGCATACTATTTAAACATGTTAGGACGTATAAATGCACACTTACGAACTTTTTAGTTTTTATTTTGATAATTTTTAGTGCATGAATTCATGCTTATTTCCACATTTTTTAGTGTATGAAGTTACGAGTTTGGTTATTAATATACTATTTTGTTATGATTATTCGACTTGTTCGACTTCGAGTTTCGACAGTCTTACGAGTTACGACGTGACCCACAGCATTTTGTACTAGCCCTCGTACGAGCGAGTGGGTTATTAAAAGTGCTTTACAGAATTATAATTTGTGTTCGCAAGTTCGCGATATATAAAATAATTGTATGTGTAGCCAGTCGTCGCTCGTTGTTCGATATTCGACAATCGGTCATCGGCATTTGTACCTACGGGTTACGGCGTCGCACGTGCTTTATAGCTTTTGTTTAGTTCGTGCCTCAATAATATTTTATTCATTATTGTGATCCGGTAAATAAATATAATCGAAGTATATATAAGTACTTATAATTATATTGTTCTATTTAGTGGCTGCCGTCGAAGGTTATAGGTACATAATAATACAAGATGGAGGTTACTACCTACTCACAAGAACTTCAAGTAAGTCATATTATTATAGACAAATTAAATATAAATGTTTTTGTATTGAAATGTCTGATAATGCTATTGTTTTTACTTTAAGTCATAATATCACATCCTAATTTGTTTAAGTATAATATATAAATATCATAAAATACCTACATAATTCATTATATTATGTTACAGATTAAACTAATCGGCAGTTATTCCGAAATTATTTATTCATTTTATAATTTGTATATAATATGTACTTATATGATATATGATGTCAAGACAGTTTTAAATTTTTAAATTATATGTATTTTTTTTAATACAATTATGCTCATTTATTCTTATTATAATATTTATATTATAACACATATTACTTGTATAGTTATTATATTACCTACATTACACAGGTATGAGCATTACCAGCTAGAAGCAGTATTATTATAAATAGGTAATATTAAATTAATTTTTTATATAGCTTCTCTAATATTTTTTTATTCTATTATACATTTTATTGTTAGAAAAACAATTTTTTTAAATTAATATGAATTGTTATAATATGTTTGTTTTTTATTATATGTATCCTGGCTTACCTGAATATATTTATTATACTATACAATATTTCATTGTTAAAAACAGTGTTTTTTTTTTCAAACAGGTATTATGGGTTGTTTTGACGAGTTAAGAACGATGGTGCAAAAATAAAATTGCGGAAATGATTATTTTGGAAGTTATAGCTTCCCAAAGTTAACGATTTTACGTTTATACGCGTGCGCGCAACACTACTATAATGCCGCGCGGAGGACCTCGAGTTTGGCGACCGGAGGACTTTTTTAATTGTTTTTATCTTTTATGATAACTGATACAACAATTAGTAATTACTAATTACCCTGTGAACTACTTGAAGTGTTGTTGCATATCAAGTCGATGGATATTTTCGATTTTCTGAGTGGAGCGACGGTGCCGAGGAGCGCAGCGACGAGTGCCGCCAACTGTGTAACACTGGCCACTGCCCATATAATACGACATAACTTACCCTGTAACCTACTTAAGGTGGTGTTGCATAGCAAGTCGGGGGATATTTTCGATTTGCGGAGCGGAGCGACGGCGCCGAGGAGCGCAGCGACGAGTGCCGATACACGCGTAATCACTGCAACTTGGAACTTCCATAACTTTTGAACGATAAGTTTCCGGGAATTTTTGAGGAAAACCGAGGTTCACCTGAGGTGGTTTTACACAACAAATCGGGGGATATTTTCGATTTGCGGAGCGGAGCGACGGCTCCGAGGAGCGTAGCGACGAGTGTCGCAAACTGTGTAATCACTGCAGCCCTGCTTACTGTAGGTAATTAACTATAGGTAATTTGGTTATCTATAATAGATATAGGTAATTAATAATATAATTATAATAGGAATAGTAATATAGTTATTTAATTGGGTATGCGGTATGCCATCACAATAAAAACAATTAAAAAAGTCCTCCGGTCGCCAAACTCGAGATCCT